TGTGTGTGTGTGTGTGTGTGTGTGTATGTGTGTGTGTGTGTGTGTGCGTGTTTGTGGTTAAACAAACCAATTTGCCAGGATCTGGACAATAAAAGATTTATCTTATCTTATACTTATCTTATGAAATATTTTTTCTCATTTCCTTATGAGAAATGTGCACCCCAGAAAAAAAAGAAATTGACAGGACATACATTTTCTTTTTGTATGAATAAATCTTAGCCTTTTTAGGTACTTTCAACCATACTTTAAAAATCAGTATATTTAAGATACTTACAAAGTAACTGATTCATCTTTATAGTATCCTTTCCGTGGGAGAAACCAGTCAAGACCTCTTCCGACAGCCTAAAGATAAAAACAAAGCAATTTTTAAATATAAAAATGTATTGGGAGTCACTGTACGTTGTATACCATACTACACAGCTCATTTGCAAAAAGAAAAGATGAACTGACATACTGAGAGAAAAGATGGAAAATTAGATGTGTTACAAGGACGAACAAATACCAATGCAAAAGAGAAAATTAAAAATCTTTCAAGCACTAGGAGAGCATCGCTTGTCACTTAATACTCAGAGCATGAATTGTACAATGTGATTTCAAAAAAGCAATAATTGCGAACGCAATACAGCAAACAAAAAAAGGTATCTTATTTGAGGTATAGTTGAGTGGGTTTGTATGTTTGTATTTAGGCAAGAGAAGAAACATAATGACCAGAATGAAAAAGAATCTTGTTGCGTTTGTCATAAATTATTCCTGATAGTGACCTAGACAAGTTTGACTTGCACACCCACCTGCCATTCTTGAGCAGCAGGATCATAGCGCTTATTATGCCACCGATGGGATATATTGTCCGGTTTCTCTTCTGTAGTCACTGTTGGGGGCCACATTTTTGGAGCAAGGAAATGATCCCAAGGCACTTCTTCGTAGCCCCTGTCAAAAAAGAATTTACAGAAAAATTCGCATTTTTTTCCACAGAAGAAATCCATTGGCAATAAAAATGTTTGAATTTATTGTAAAAGCCTCTAGTATATCACATTCAAAATTACTTGTGGTGCGGAATCTCCCTTGATTAACCAACAAGGGCACATGCTAAAATATCTGCGCCTCAGAGCATTTTTTAATACATTTTTCTCTTTATTTTTTTTTTCTGTATTATTGCCCACATATTAATATCTCAAGTTTTCTGCTCTTAATTGAACCAGTGTTATTATCCCATTGACAGTAAACTTACAACTTTAGCATGGTGTTCTTTTGTATGACATTGACAACACAATATTTAGTGAACATAATCACCTACTCTACAAAATAGTTATGCAAATATTAGCAACCAAATTCAAAACGAGCACAATTCATAATTCATAGAAACTCAGTTCTAATAAATAGTTCTATTCATTAATTCTTATCACTTCCAAAAAACAGAAGGGTATAAATAAAAAAAGAAATACACTGGAGATTGGATACCCTGTTACTTGCAAGACGAGAACGATATTATGAAAAATAGCTGTCCTGATCAATGCCAGAGGGAAGTAATACAGGTGTACAGGTAGCAAAATTTAAACTTCTTTACTTAGAGCCAAGCACAGGGGAAAATGCTGTGTCGCACAAATATTAATAAGAGAGTTCGAACCTGCTTTTTAGTAAAAAGAAAGATTAACATACTCAAACATCTTTACCCTTTCAAAGACGTTTGAGTATATTTAATTTATTACAGTTTTTTGTTCATAAGTAAATCCACTCCCATTCAGGGAGGCAAGGAACTGTGACTGTAACATAAAATCTCATTTTTCTACGGAGTTGCCAAACAGTGTCAGTATATAAATGGACACTGCTGTGATCTAAAAATCAGAAAGAGGGGAAAAAAAGCAAATGAGTTCAGGCCCTTTAATTACCTTTGGGTAGATGTTCCGTACATATACTTGAGAGCTAACTTATCCCGACTGCTTCGTGTCTGCTCTTCTGGAGAGGTCTGAAAAGAAAAATTATAATCAAAATGAATCATGGTGGAAGAGCTTAAAGCTCCACGGTACTCCTCAATTTAAGTTGCTGACACTCTTGAAATTTACACAAAAAAAGAGATAAAAATAGAAACTTTGTAGAATCTAACTTTTGCACAGAGTAGTGGGTATTTTTGATTAAGAAGATTGTCAATCAAGAGAAAAGAAAGAGTGCTTTTCATGACATTTTATTAGTGGCACATGTACATGCTTCATTAAATAAATGATAAGAATATATTTACTTACTTGAAATGCAGTTCAAGAGAAGTATACAAGCAGAAAAGGCAGGAAAAAAAGATAAGAAAAATGAAAAGGGGTGGGGTAGGGGTGGGGGGTGTGAGACAGCCTGTCATAATCTACTTTTTAATTGACCATCGTGTAAGTTTAAAAAAAAATTATAATAATGTAGAAAAATATGCACAAGACAAACACTTGATCTTATTTCTCAAAAAGAGAAAATGCTTAAACAGCAAATTTTAATAAGCAGAAAACTTGGTGCTCAAGTCAACATGTGTAACCCAGATTTCAGGTCATTTTTCATTTTTTAACTTCAGTACAACGGACGTGTTCCCAAGCGTTACTTTACCTACCCTGATCAGTATGTGAAGCAGTTCACGTAATCCCTGTCAATAATTCTTATATTTTTTAACGTCTCTTTTTAGTCTCGACTTCACGTCTTCTTTTTTACTTCAAATTTTAGAACAATTAACGGACATCATAATAAATCTTACTATTTCAAGATTTACAAATCACTGATGAAAAGAAAGCAAGGCAAAAGGATTTTAAGGAAGGAGCAAGAAAAATAATGAGGAAAATTTCTTGGTGTCAATTTACCTGAGGGCGGCCAGCTGAAGTTACACGAGGATCAACATCACTTGTCCATCCTGGAAAAAAAAGATGAATACAGGTACTCATAATCTATAACTCGTATGCCTCATAGTTAATGAATGAATAAATATTGAGGCCGAAACATGAATTGCAGTTCATTAGTCTGTATAACAGGGAAAATGCTGTTAAGTTAAAGATGGAGCTGTAAAGGGAAAAATTGTTGAAAAAAATTATGAAAGCCTTGAAAAGTATAAATATGAAAAGTATAAATATGGGGCCAAAAAAAGGATGACGATAACAAGCATGGAAACAAACAAAGTAACAAATAATAGAGTTGTAGAAATTCTAGACAGAAGTTCAAAAAGAGCTGAGTGATATATCTACTCTGAGAGCTTAGTGATATATATCTACTCAAAGCCCCAAAATATAGCCCACTGTAGCATCATCACTAAGGAAGTCCTACCACTCATAGAACAGAAGGTAGAAGCAACAATAAAGAAAATGAAAATAAGAAAAGAACCAGATGGCACACCTGTGATGTTAATTGATTGGGGGCATCTGAAGTAATAATAAACTTCATTAGAATATTAAATCCGATCCAGACAGAAAAAAATCCCCTGAGCTGACATGAATGAAGCGAAGATTCTTTTCTTAATCATTACAAAAAAATTACAGACCAACCCATCAGCTTCCTTGCATTATACACACAAACTCTTCACAACAATTTTTCAGCAGAATAGTAATTTTTTAAAGATGAGGAACAACCAAGAAAACAGCCTGGCAAAAATTTTTTTTTTCTATGGTTGACCACCTTATTTGCAAACATCTATGTTCATAGAAAAATCAAGTACTACATATCCCTCTACTTGGGTTTCAATAAGCAAGAGAAAGTCTTAGATTCAGAGAAACACTATAAAACATTTCAGGCACAAAGGAAAATAAACATACATGAAACTTGCATCAGCCAGCCCGGAAGAAAATATTTAAGAAAATGTTACACAGCAAGAATTCACACTGACAATCAAGTGTCAGAGAGCCTCTAGATCATAATTGGGGGTG